CTGTCAAAGAACAAAGCAGCAGAACCAGCTCTCCTGAGTCCTACCCCCATGCAGAAAACCAGCAGGCAGACCCAACCAAACACCTCTGCAGTGACCCGCCACACGTTGTCCTTACCTGGATAAGGAGTCAGGTAGGTTTCCAGAAATCTCTTGTGGTCGTTGTAAACGGTTCGTGCCATACCTGGCCAGGCTTGCGAGATGCAAAGGGCTCCAGAGATGTTGTTTTCCAGAAGGACATTTCCCTGTAAAACGGTTACCTTTTAGTAACCATGGCGGAGGGTAGTTGGGATGTTTAGTCATTGCCTGTTTATCAACCCTGTAATGGAAATGTCAGGGAAGGCAGTGAGGAGAGTCCTGTGCCACCAACTCCAACGGGACAGGCTCAGTCTCTCCCAGCAGATGTCTGCAACCAGCTGCCTACCATGGTGGGACACAGGGCCCCTCCAGGGAGGCTGCCTGTCCCTGACCAGCTCCCTCACCTTGGGAAGACACATGCCAGGGAGCCCAAGCACAGCCCATCTTGTCAGGGCAGAGCAAACTAGAAACCAACTTCTGCACTAGTTGGAAGAACAGCTTCACTGTTAGTCCCTTTCCAGTAAAGAAGGTTGCTGTCTAGCAGAGGTGAGCAGGAAAGACGTGCTTACAGATCTCCGCTCCTGTCAGCAAGTACACGCTGCAAGCACCTGGGGGAAAGCGGGCTGAGCCAGTGGCTGGGCTGCAGGTTATAAATGTACCTTGTCGTCCAGGAGGGAGGGGCTGATCCCAAAAAAGGGTCTCATAGCCATGCCTGGAAGGATTTCAGCTCCAGGATTAGAAGGACGGGGAGAGATACAGATGCCTCCTGTTTCTGAAGCAAAAGAAACTGTAATGCTCATCAAAGTCAGGGACAAGAGGAAAGCAGGTAGCACTGCTTGGCCAACAGCCTTTGCCCTGCCCTCACTGCACCCTGCTGGACCACAGGCTGGGGCTGGGTTTGCCAGAGAGCTGGCCAGAGAGCTTTGCAGAAGGATGATCCTGCTCATTTAGTTCAGCAGAGATCTGCTCCCTACTGTCAACTGCCCTGTGTTTCTCTGTGTTAGCTTTAAAGGCCATTTCTGTCTTTCATGTTGTGGTGCCTGTGGCCCCTTATGGCATTACTCATACAAGAGCGTCAGTAACAACCGTTCCCACTTGGCCAGCAAAGCAGCAGGTCACTCCTAAAGCCTGGGAGAGCAGAAGCTGGAATGAGGGGTCATACGAATCTCACCAGTTTGCCACCACGTGTCCACTACTGGGCACCGTGTCTCGCCGACCACGCAGAAGTACCACTCCCATGCCTCCTTGTTGATGGGTTCCCCCACTGCAAAGGGAAAGACAAGGGGACGGAGCTGAAAGATCAGGTCAAAGACACAGCTTCCCAGGGCCTGCTTGCAGAGTCACCCCCAAATAGCGCAGTCTCCTGACTTTCTGCTCTCATGTGCTGCTGCTCTTGGCATTTATGGGAAGAGGCACAACCTGATGCCCAAGGATTTGCTGCTCCAGCCCACGCCACCAGCAGTTACCTGAGCCGAGCACTTTGAGAG